TCTTGTTCTAATGTCCACCTGTTAAGACAGACCCAACACGTAGCCACATGCTCAGTTTAGTGTGTGTTTCTAGAGAGGTTTTTTTTTTTTCTTGGGAGAGTACATGTGATCAGCACAAGAGCCAATCAGAACTGTCCGGACAGAGGATCAGGAGTTTTGCATCCTTAACTAGTGGTCTTCTGAAGTCACTGCTTGGACTGCTGAGAAGGTATTTAGCAGTTTATATTTACTGAAATAATTGCATTTCCATGTTCTGTCCACTGTGGGGGACCAGTCATATTGAATGCAGGATCCTGGGTTTAGTAACACTTTAAATTAGATTTTTTTTTCAGTGTTTACATAAGTTTTCTAAAACATATGTATAAACAGTATATATATTTTTTCCTTTTGAGGTTGACCAATCTTGCAATTGCTGGCAAAATATGCATAGATCACATATTTCTAGACCAAACCAGATGGATTGGCTTGTATTTCACAATACACACATCCTCTTTCACTCATTACTCTTTCATGCATGCGCACACACAGTTTCTACTTCTCTTTCCTATTCACATGAAGGTGTTACAGTAGCAGGGAATTGTATAATTGGCCAAGTCCTGTGTCAATGATTGTTGCTTTTGTGTTTTCTTGTCTTAATTCGCATAGTGGTTGGGCTGCAGAAATTTGAATCTGGACACATTGAGGCTGATTTACTAAAGAATTTGAGAATGTTCACACAAATTGTGTGAAGATTCACAATAGCTAATTATGTGAAAAAAAAATACCCTTTTTACTTGTTTCGCATACACTATTGGATAATTGAAGTGAATCTTTTGGTGTGTATGTTTTGAACATTTTCATATTCTCTAGTAAATTATCCATATGGTGTCTAAGGGTTCATGGTGTTGCAAGTACTGAACGGGGGCTCATTATAGACATTTCAGCACCTACTGGGCACCTCCCTAACACCTAAACACTTTTGTTGGAAGACTGAACTGAACCAAATGGTTCATTACACATTCCCACATTAAGCTGGGCTAGCCTTGTGTTATATTTACCTGAATGTTGCATTCAACTTTAAGTTTTTTTAGCAGTTTATTCCCAAAGTACGGTTAGTATAGGACAAAATAGAGGTAAAACAGGTGAAAAGAAAAGGCAGCAGTGCTTTGTCATATAACTTTATTGGTACAACACTACAGTTCTACCTTATATCGCCTTGAATTTATAAGTACTAAGTAAATCACTGAGCAGTCCTCTATACTTTTCTAGGCATTGAACATTTGTGGACACTTTCCTGCACCTCTAGAAGAGAAGTATGGGTTGACTGTATGCTTCAGCATTGTTGTTATGCTACAGTTGTCCCACGTTGGCTTTTAAGACCGAGAACTGAGCGATCACTTCACCCCTGATCGCTCAGTTTTGTGTGCTCGAAGTGGACAGTAGTGCCAGTCATTGCTCTCCGCTATGCTCCTTCAGTGCTCACTTGGAGCACTTGTCTGGGGAGGGGATGGGTGCAGCTTGCTTCAGCTCTTGGCCACGCACGGAAAGGCAAAGCCAGCTGTCAGGCAGCTGGGTGGGTCTGGACAATATTGTCAGGATCCTTCCAAAGCCTGGAGCGGCTCTGCTCAGCCAGCTTATAGAGAACAATAGTCCGCTATCAGCTGACTCTGGGTCACAAAAGTGCAAAAGTAAATGTGCTCCTGTGACCCACGAGAAGTATGGCCAAAAAAGCTTTGGTCATTCATATATATATATATATATATATATATATATATATATATATATATATATATATATATATATATATATATATATATATATATATATTTATTTATTTATTTTTTTTTTTTTTTTTTTACTGATTCCTACCTAATAAATGTATCGCCTACATTTTTGGAGTTGGCAAATAGTTATTTAAATCTGGTTGTCCTATCTCTACCCTTTCCTGCAAATAGTATGACTTGATTGTATTGAATTCAGATAGCTGGATCTGGATCACTGGCTCCATCAGTAATGTTTGTTACTAATGTTCCATAACTAAAAGTCCGGAAGCATACAGTTACATACTTTCAGTATCTTGTTTATCCCATAGCTATACACCATCTTTAGTCACTTCCCTATCTATAGTTAATTTCCTCTACTGTTTCCAAGAGGAAGCTTATGAAGAGATTAGTATGACTTTCAGCAATTTTAACACATTCTATTCCATTTCTGCTCCTAAATCTTAACTTTGTTAGTGTTCCTTTAGAAAAATTAGAACAGAGCAGTAGTTCTAGAGAAGACCCCCTAAAAGCAAGACATATTTACTGCTGTTATAATGCTGGACTTAGTTTCCATGTACACGAGCCTACCCTGACCGCCTGCCACTGGACAACACAAATTGCGGCAACCGCGATTTTGCCACAGCTTTGCTGTGTTTTGCATTTTCCCGCAGCCGACGTTCAAAACATTACTATCCTGAATGCGATTCTTCTGCATTCAGGAGAGGGAGGTTTAGCCTCACCTCACCGCAGCAGCTCCTAAACTCTGCTAAAAGCCTACGAGTACATGAACACATAGGCTTTTATGGAGTTGAGTGTAGGAGCTTTGGAAAAAAAGTGCCAAAAGCTCGAGTTTAGCAGCTGATCGTTTACATGAGCCCTAAGACATACAGTATAATGGCTGTCAGAATGAATGGGGGGGGGGGGAGCACTCTCCTCTAAAGCCATATGCTTCAGAATTGGACTGTTTTTTTGGCCCTGTGTTATACTTGATGTCAGAGGACCTGTGATCACTGGAACTTTGGGAAGAGGCGGCTCTAGGGACCAGTCTATCAGAGAGGAAGCCTGCGGAAGCATCTTTGATGGGGAGGAAGATTTTTTTGTTTACAAACAATTTTCCGCTCCTGTCAGCTCAAGCACACTGCTCGGGATGGCTGTGCACAGTACAGCCATCCTGATCAGTGTGCTTACAGTAAAGAACACACACCTGCCGCACATAGTTAACCCTTTGAGCACCCCTCACATTAACCCCTTCCTGCCCAGTGCAATTAGTACAGTGTCAGTGCAATTTTTTTTTTTTTTTTTTTTCTAGCACTGATCACTGTATTGGTGACACTGGAGATGTCAGTGACACCAATTTAGTTCCCAACCCCCCCCCCCCCCCCCCCGTGTCAGAATGTCCGCCGCAGTCCTGCTATAAGTTGCTGATCGCCGCCATTACTAGTAGAAAAACAAGATCCCATTATCCATACCACCAATTGGAAACACTATAACTTTCATGTAAACCAATTAATTTACACTTATTGGGATTTTTTTTTTTTTAGTAAAGACCTCGCAGAATACATTTTGGACCAAATTTGCTTTTTTAACGTTTTTTTTTTCACTGGACATGTTTAATAGCAAAGCATCCAAAAGATTTTTTTTTTTCTCTTTTTGCTTATAGCGCAAGAAATAAAATGCACAGGCGATCAAGAAAGCTCAATTTGTGGGAAAAAGAGGACGTGAATTTCATTTGGGTGCAGCATTGCATGACCGCACAATTGCCAATTAAATTAACGCAGCGCCGTAACGCAAAAAATGGCCTGGTCATGAAGGGGGGTAAATCCTTAGGAGGGCACAAGGTTAAAAAAGGATCTGAAAGGCCAACATCTCTTTATACATATCAATAATGCAATTAAGCATAAATGTTAGATTTACGCTGTTGTGCTGTATTTTGGAGGGTTTTTTTCTAGTCTGCTCACAAGAAAATAAGTGTGTTAGTGGTCATTGGAGCAGGCAAACACTAACATTCCTTTAATCTCTATACTCTGATACCTTAACAATATCCCTTCTTCCATCAAATCTCACCCACAAGTGGCTGATCTAAAAAAAAATCTTCCCAATTGAAAACATCTCTCCCTCACCACCTCCCTTTCGTCCCAATATTAAAGAACCCGACCTTCCCGCCAGGAATAGATGACTCCTGTTTTTTAGGACATTGTTGAACTATAGGGTCCATAAGGCTCAAGCTTCTAGAGAACAGCAAAACTTTTTTTTTTTTCTTTTAGGTCTTCGCAGTTTCATCAGACCACTCAATATGTGAAATCAAATGTCAAAATGTGAAGCTCAAACTGCCCAACTTCAACCACCCCCCATGTTTTTTATCCTGTCTTTGCTAACTAATGTCTACCCCTAGCTCCCTAATCCCTTAACTCCCCCAACCCCCCCCACATATTCCTATAAGAACTCGTGTATTGGAAGACACAACTTTTCAGACATACTACATAAACAACTAATACATTATCAGATTTATCAAAAGCACTTTGTGTCTTGCATATCTGTTGCACTGTATCCTGCTACATTGTCTTGAAATCAGCAACTTTTCAAACTTGTTTCACATGAATAGTGCTATGTATCCAATGTATGTATGTTTCATATAAAATGTAAAAAAAGGAAAATTAGTGATCAGAGCACATGGAATGCAGGCAAATGTGTCTGAATGTATTGTCCAATTGTGCCTCTAAACCCATGGCACACAATTATCCTAATACCAACATAGTTGAATTTTGGCCTGCTCCCTCCTGAGCATCCCTCAGCCCATTAGTGGTCAGTGAGGCCATATACAGGGATGGTCCAGTAAGGCAGGCGGCAACAAGCCTGAGCTTGACTGCTAAACTGATTTGGAGATTTGTCTAATAGAGGCCCCAGAGCCCACTAAAAGGTATGCTACAGCGTATGCAGCTATCCGAATGTGCTTAGTTTAGTAATATCAGGCTTGTTTTCAACCAGTAGTGGGAACTGGAGTGAAAACACGGCAATATACATGAACATCTTAAACTATAATATAATCGGAGCCATTATATGATGATGTATATGTTGTTTGCCACATGACAGAGCAGGAACCCATATGTATAAAGGAGAAATGTTAAAGATGCCTTTTGTTGACTTTTCGGACATTGTAAATAAATCTAAAATTAGCAGCCACTGGTTGGTTCAATTGTGTAGCACTATGAATTGTTTCTCCCAAGGTATTAACATATTTTTATTTTTTTTTCAGAAACTATGAGGCGTGTGGTGCGACAAAGCAAATTCCGGCATGTCTTCGGACAGGCATTGAAGAATGACCAGTGCTATGATGACATCAGAGTTTCCCGTGTTACCTGGGACAGCTCTTTTTGTGCTGTAAACCCTAAATTTGTTGCCATAATAATTGAAGCCAGTGGTGGGGGAGCTTTCTTGGTATTACCATTACAGAAGGTAGGTTGACGTAAGCTGCTTAAAGATCTGTCATAAAGGAAATACATGCTTGCCATTGCTGAACTTATTTAGAACAGGCATGCAGATCAGAGCATAAGTGCAAACACAGATCAGGACGTATGAGAATAGTCAGTCTTATCTGCATACTTGGGTCAGCGATTTAGAGTACTGAAAAAATCTTCATGAAATCCAGAAATGTAGCATTTCAAAAAGAGAGGTCAGTAATAGCGGCTTCCATGTTGTGTTTTTTTTTTTTTTTTTTTTTTTTTTTCTCTCTTTGATCTTATTGCTCTACACATACAAACATACAATTACCTCTTGCTGGAAATGTGTTTTTTTTTTTTTATTGGCCTTTATTCTGTTATCCACTGTAAATAGTATAATTATGTGGTACTTTTCATTTTTGTTTTTTTGTTTTTTTTACTTGTAAGAATATTATGGTTCATTATTTCACTGCTTCATTGAATTAGTCATGTAATTAATATCTAACACTTTAAAGCCCTAGTCTCTTGCTTTCAAGACACATTTTGCCTCAACAGTGCTCTGTCTGTCCAGGAAGTAGTCCAACAAGTATTTAACTCTAGTAGGAAATTCCTCCTTTTTTTTTTTTTTTTTTTTTTTTTTTGTGCTCCAGGGTAGAAGTCAGCATTGCTGACATTACTTTACAATGTCAGTTCAAAGAGCAATGCATAGGCATAGTTATTATTTTCTGTTAAACATATCCGTTATCAAACTATGCTGGGAGCCACTTGTTAAAGCGGAGCTGCACCCGAAAGGAGACGTTGCGCTTTAAGTACTGGTCCCTCCGCTCTCTGTCAGGTATTGGCACCTTTGGGGGGGGTGGGTGGGGGTGGTACCCAAATGTGACTGGTATGAGCTCCCACTTTCGTTCAGATCTCCTAGGCGATCGGAAGTAGAACTTTAAAAAAAAAAAAATAAACTCTGTATTAGCTAAGCACAGTACATTGCTTTTGCTACTAACAATTATCAAATCTAAATCTACCTGGAAAAATTAAGAGTGGAGCTTCAGCTTATGAAATAATTGCACTCAAAGCCAAGCATTCAGTTTTTTGTGGTTTTTTTTTTGTTTCTTTTTTTTAGTGTCTGACACAGAATGTCAATCTTATTTTTATTTAGACCTGCAGTTCTGAGCACCCAATGGCACCCATTTGCCATGTCCATTATAAAGCCAAACTATGTTGTCATGCCTCATTGATGAATTATCTGTAGTGTTTAAACTGATAATTGCAAATCCATATGGCACTATAAAGTGGTAAATGCTGAGAGAAGGTTGTTCATGATTTAGACCTCATACACACAGGTGTAATACTCCTATCTATGCTAGATCTTTCTGCCAGGAGATGGCAGAAAAAGTCTAGCTTAAAAAATGCTAATTTTGGTGTGAAACTGTGTGTTTATGTATGTTTACCGGCCTATGGCGTTTAGGATAAACTTATTCCATTAGCCAGAATATTCATTTATTCTGGTCACTGGAATAAACTTAAGCATATATGCGTGTGTATTTAATGCTCAGTCTCCTCCCTGAATGCAGCTTTGGAGCTTTTTTCAGTGTCTCTAAATGCTGTTCTTAAAGCTGGCTCTTGCTGCTGTCAATCAAATGCTGTGACATGGCAGCGAGGGGTACGACCGAGTTGCCCACTCTTGTCAATCGATGCAGACAGGGCGGATCAGGAGCGAGTGCCTTTATGGAAAGTGGCTTTCCATGGGGGCACCCGCCAAAGAAGAGGGGCCTGGAGTGCTGGGAGGGGGTGATCTCAGAAGAAGCAGACCGTGGCTGCTTTGTGCAAAAGCATTGCACAGAGCAGGTAAGGATGGACATGTTTGTTATTTTAACCAATTCAATACCGGGCAATTTTACACCTTCCTGCCCAGGCCAGTTTTCAGGTTTCAGCGCTCACAGTTTGAATGACAATTGCGCGGTCATACAACATTGTACCCAAACTAAAATGTTATAATTTTCTTCACACAACTAGAGCTTTCTTTTGGTGGTATTTAATCACCGCTGGGGTTTTTATTTTTTGCTAAATTAACAAAAGACCAAAAATTTTGAAAAAAAAAAAGTTTTTCTTTGTTTCTGTTAAAGTTTGCAAATAAATAATTGTTCATAAATTTAGGCCGAGATGTATTCTGCTACATGTCTTTGGTGAAAATAACCCAAATTAGGATGTATTTTTTAGTTTGTAGGAAAGTTATAGAGTTCACAAACTATGGTATAGATCTGAATATTGATCAATCCTGAAGTACTGACAGCCAATCTAATTTCTTGAGGTCCAAGAATGTGAGAACAGTCCGAAAGTAGACAGTCTGACGTACTTCATAAGAGGCATGGCGAGTTTTTTGATGTTGTGTTTTTTTTGTCATTTTTCGGAAAATGAAAAAATTTAAAAAATTAGTTTCACTATTTTTTTTTTTTTTTTTACATATTGTCACCAGTGCAGTACAGCGTCATCCTATAACTGGCATGGCGGTGATCAGGGACACTGACTGGTGACAGTATGAAAAAAAATATATCTATATATTTTTTTTATTTTATTTTTTTTTATTTTTTATTTAAATTTTTTTTCTTTTTTAAGATTTTTTTTCATATTTCACTATGACCAAAGTAGTACAATGTTACCAAAGCAATCGTAATGTTACCATAGTAACATTGTACTACTTTGGGGAAGTGATCAGTATTTTTTTTTTTTTTTTTTTTACACAATTTGCTTATAGCAAAGAATTACTTTGCTATAAGCAAGCATTTACCTGAATGACATCGATTCATTCAGGGATTTTTTTTTTTTTTTTGTGCTTAGCTGTGATTTGGCCACAGCTAATCACATGACATGTGCATGTGATTAGCTGTGACCATTCACAGCTAGACACTAGTATACAATGGATGGCATGAATGAAGCCATCCATTGTATACAACTGTCATGTGACCTGCTGTGATTGTTACCGGCAACGGGGGCCGATACTCAGATCTGTCATCGGCCATGTTCAAGGTAGACGGCCGATGACAGATCGCGCCGCTCTGCAGGAGCGCAATCTGCGCATGTGCGGGAGGATGCCATATGGCGTCCTCCCGGAACGCTGATGACATTTGCCGCCCGCCATTTGGCCATAGGGCGGGCGGCAAATGGTTAATGAAAAAAAAAAAAAACCCAAAGGTTTAATAACACTTTAAAATACTGATCTAAATGCCTAATATGCATGGCCATATGGGCTACAGGAAAATTATGCTATACGCCTGTAAAAGTGGCATTTTAATGCCTGTGTGCATGAGTCGTTAGTTCTTTAATACATCACTGCTATATTTTTTTTTTTTTCTTTGCAAATTTATGATTGCAGCCTGCTTTCATGTATGGACACAGCTTTCAGGCAGTAGCATTTCAGATCAAGTTATTTCTGTAATTTTTGCCAGCTAGACCTTCTGATAGCATATTCTGATTCCCAGTTTTATCACTGCCGCATTAATGATCAACATGCAGGATTGTAGATGTGTTTGAAACCCCATTTATACATACATACAGTATACTCAGAACTTGGCAGCCCTAAACATACATAAATACCCTGTTTTTACTTGTAGGATATCTGTGGTCAATATGTAAAATCATATATTCTTTTCCGCGTTGTTTTTTAGTGTTTTCTAACCTTTTCCTATTAATTTAAACAATCTTGAAGTGTTTAAACTTACTTTGTGATGTTCCCCACATATTTACTATATTGAATTCTGTGACATATATTCAGGATGACCTGTGGGTAGGCTCTGCTGTATCAGAATTCAGATCCTATCTTCTGATCAACAGAGGTGCTGAGAAAAAAAGTTTCATGAGTTAGTACAGGAATAACTACTTTCAATTTCTAAGGACTACATATCCCATGGTACCTTGCTTCCTAAAAGCAAACCGTAAAGAATCTGCAAAGTATGCAGGGAGACTAGGAAGTTCTAGAAAGAGGTGACCAGCAGACAGGCAGCACTCCTAACATGAATAAAGATTTTTTTTTCAAATTGGATTATCAATAATCACTATTGTTTTTGTGTTATTACAATGCTGATGTTCTAAAAATTGTGTATGTTGTGACTATAGATCTCCTTTAAGTACACAAATTTGAAATCTCCTCTTGAAAGCTACTTGGCCTCATGCACACTGCAGCTCAAAAACCCCTATTTTGCAGGTGTTTTGATGTTTTTCCTTTTCTATCTCTAAATGCTCTTTTATGCTAATCTGTGTGTCCATGAACACATAGGCATTTAGAGGCAGGGGGATTTGATTACATTTTACATATTTTCTTTTTAAGAAGTCTGTGTGTAGTCAACTAATTTTTTTTGTTTTTAATAGAGTAGAGAAAGGCTTGAACCCACTGGAAGTTTTTGCTTCACTTCAAATCTCAAGTTGCAATAGAAAATGCGAGAATATTTCCCCAAAGTGAAGCTCATTCCCCACTTTAGACAGTTGTCACAATTGACCCCACTAAATTGTTTACCCTCAACTCTTGTTCTGTTAACAAATCTTACAGTATCTCACAGAAGTGAGTACACCCCTGACATTTTTGTAAATATTTTTTATCTTTTCATGTGACAACACTGCTGAAATGACACTTTGTTATACAAGCTGTACACTCACTACTTTACATTGTAGCAGTGTAAATTTGCTGTCCCCTCAAAATAAATCAACACACAACCATTAATGTCTAAACCGTTGGCAACAAAAGTGAGTACACCCCTAAGTGAAAATGTCCAAATTTTGCCCAAATTGTCAATATTTTGTGTGGCCACCATTATTTTCCAGCACTGCCTTAACTCTCTTGGGCATGGAGTTCACCAGAGCTTCACAGGTTGCCACTGGAGTCCTCTTACACTCCTCCATGACGACATCACGGAGCTGGTGAATGTTAGAGACCTTGCGCTCCTTTACCTTCCATTTGAGAATGCCTCACGGATGCTCAATAGGGTTTAGGTCTGGAGACATGCTTGGCCAGTCCATCACCTTTACCCT